CATTGCCTTCTCCTTTTTAATGTTAGGAACTATATAAACTAGCAAAATTTCTCCCCCTAAAAAGCTTATCACTGCCCGTAAGGCTTCTCTTTCACCCTTCAGCTGTTTGTCTTTTCAAAGCAGAGGGAAAGTCTAAAAGTGGTTTCTTGGGATGCTTTTAGTCCGTTAAGTGTTGGAGAAATTACACCATTTCTGTATGTTTGGTAAAGCACAATTTGCCTATAAGACTGGTGAATTCTAGGACTTCCCTGGTGGTCCTTTAGTGAAGAAGCCACCTGCCAATGCAGGGGACACAGGTTTGATCCCTGATCCGGGTAGATCCCACATGCCTCAAAGCAACTAAGCCCATGCACCACAACTGGGCTCTAAAGCCCAAAACCAGAGAAGCCACCACAATGAGAAGCCCACATACCACAACGAAGACTGGCTTTCCACAGCTAGAGAAAGCCTGCTCAAAGCAACAAAGACCCAGCTCAGCCAAAAATAATAAATAAAATTTTAAAATTAAAAAAAAAAAAAAGACTGGTGGACTCTAGAGGCTCTAATGCAGTTTGCAATGATTTCTTATTAAAGTAGGGTTTCTCCAGGTCCTGCAGATAGCAGTCACTACCCCTGTCAACACTCTCCCTACAGGATATCATTTCTGCAAAACCTTCCAAACAGTCACATACAGATATTTTGTTCCATAAATTCCTGGAATATGGCTGGATTGGGGAAATCATATGAGGTATAGTGGGCTTCCCTGGTAGCTCAGCTGGTAAAGAATCTGCCTGCAATGCAGGAGACCCTACTTCGATTCCTGGGTCAGGCAGATCCGCTGGAGAAGGGATAGGCTGCCCACCCCAGTATTCTTGGGCTTCCCTGGTGGCTCAGCTGGTAAAGAGTCCACCTGCAATGCAGGACACCTGGGTTTGACCCCTGGATTGGGAAGATACCCTGGAGAAGGGATACCCAGTCCAGTATTCTGGCTTGGAGAATTTGCAGAGTTGGATACAACTCAGTGACTCACGTCACTTCAAGAGGTATAATGTAAGCCAGCTTAGGATAGAATTTAACATGGTAGCCAGTTTTTCATGCAAAATTTAAAGAAATACTATGGTATCACTCATGTCAACGTCCAGTATTTCCTAATTAAGCTTCATTTCAAGATGGGATAACTTCAGTAGGGATATTCTTTTAAGCTCACTGTCAGCCTGTATTATGTGCATTTAGGCCACTGTGTTAAACCCATCGCAGCAGGGAGCACACTTGGAACTTAAGAGCAGGTATCTGTACTTGCAGCCCAGCCCAGCACAGCAGGGACATATGACTCCATCGGCACAGCTCCAAACTTGTACTAGTGTTGACTGCTTGATACAGGTAGTGTGCAACTGTGTAGTACCAAATCCCCTCCTTTTAAAATGTTTTTTATCTGACTTCATTCTTTCTTGCATCATGAAGTATACTTTAAGAAAAACGGATATTCATCATCTATATATTTAAAAAGCCATCTTACATCAACATCTAAAAAATTTCATCTGCAAAATTCTAAAATCCATTTTTAATGTTTTTCTACATGAAAGTTACTTTCCTGTCTAAAGGAATATTAGATGTATATTTTTACTTATTATTTGTTTGGCTTCACCAGGGTTTAGCTGGGGCACCCAGGATCTTCCTTGCACAATGCCATCACGTAGTTGTGGCAAATGGAATCTAGTTCCCTGACCAGTGATGGAACCCAAGTCCCCTGCATTGGGAGCACAGAGCCTTAACCATAGGAACACCAGGGAAATACCCTATTCAACAGAATATTCACCTGTTTATATAGTGAGTAGATTTACCTACAGAACACTACAAATATGAAAGCTCTCTGTGGCAAAAAGACCTCCTGCCAGTATCTTTTCATTCTTAGTAGAACGCTTGGTTTTTAGTGGGACTATCTCTGTCCAGAAGACTGTATTTCCTTACTTCCCTGTATCTTGAAGTAGCCATGTGATCAACTTCTGTCTAGCAGGATATAAGCAGAAGTGCTTGGAACTTCTAGGGAATCCTTGAAGAGAAAGGGCTATTCCACCTCTCCTTCCTCTGGCACAACATGATACGATGGCTGGAGCTTGACTAGCCATCTTGAGCTCTGAAGTGGAAGCCGTGTGCTAAGGATGGTTTCCTGGCACAGTGGACATTCGTATCGGCCCAAGAGAGACTACGGACAGCCAGATTTTTATTTTTTTTTTTTCTGTGAGAGAAAATAATCTGCTCTTTTGGTAAGCCGCTGTAACACTAGGTTTCTTGTTGCTCGTAGCTAGGTCTTAAGTCTGCTCTCAAGTATGGAAAGAAATGATCTGAAAGTACGTTGTACTGTGCTCTAAGTTGTTTAATTTGGGGTGGGTGATATGGCATCTCCATTTGATGAAGAAATTCAAATCTAAATAGTGAAAGAAAAAAATAACAGTGCAGCTCACTTCAGTTTTTCTTCCCGAAGATGTCAGTACGTTTACCGTGATGTTCACTTCCTTTGAAAGAATAACATGACTTAACAAGTGAAATAGGTTGTCTAAAGCAAAATACCTTGCTACTTTAAATTTGCTAACAAACAGACTCTGTATTTATTTTCAATTCTTGTGTCTTGCATCTGTGGAAAATTCATGTTCCAATGAATTCAGGAAATTAATGTTGAATTAATAGTAAGTGAAGTTTGTATTGAAGGTGATTGCTTCTAGAGGTCTGGTACCTTATTTCTTGATCTCGATGATGGGTTTATGTATATTTTTAATCCATTAAAATGTACATATGTTTATGTGCTTTTCTGAATTAATATATTTCATAAAAATAAAGGGTTAAAGACGTGAATTTTGTGGTTTCTTTAAAAATACACCTTTCACTTGTTTTGAAGCAAATATTTTGTTTTTGACAAAAAGACATGTAAAATATAAAATTCATATTATTGTTAACAAATTCCTCAATAGTATTTTGCTTTGATTAACAATTTTTATCAAGTATATGTGGTTTTTTTGTTGTTGTTAAAACCTTTCAGTAATTGAACTAACTACATAGTTCCAGAAAGTTAGCAGACTTTCTCTGTATAACATCCACTTTAAGCTAAACGCTTTAATAAGTAGAATCTAGTTGAAATAGAACCACTTCATGTCTTGTAGAACAAGCCTAGGATGAATGAATTGCTAGGTTAGATTTTATTACAGGTGCAGTAACATTCTAATACATATTTCTGTACAAGTACAGAATCGTAAAGGAGTGTTAGTCTCCACGAGTGTGTTTGGACAAGGCACTGTAGATGTTGAGTTTTACTTTGCTTTATCCATAGAAGATGTATGCTAATCCCTGCTGTCCTACAGTTGTAAAAATACAGTGAGATGTGCACGTCCATTGAACAAGCACTTCATAAACCTGTTGTTATTAATATACAGATTTAATTTAACATTTTTTTTCCTCTGCCCCTTCTAAACCCAGCTTACACAACTGGAAGTTTTCAGTTCACATACTGCTGAAGCCTAACTTGAAAGATTTTGAGCATAACCTTACTAGCACTCAAAATGAGTGCAGTTGTTCGGTAGTTTGAACATTCTTTGGCACTACCTTTTTTGGGGGTTGGAATGAACACTGACCATTTCCAATCCTATGGCCACTGCTGAGTTTTCCAAATTTGCTGACTTACTGAGTGCACCACTTTAACAGCATCATCTTTTAGGATTTTAAATAGCTCAGCTGGAATTTATCACCTCCACTAGCTTTGTTGTAATGCTTCCTAAGGCTCACTTGACTTCACACTCCAGGATGCCTAGGTGAGTGCCCCACCATCGTGGATATCCCAGTCAGTAAGACCTTTTTTGTATAGTTTGTGTATCCTTGCCATCTCTTGATCTCTTCTGCTTCTGTTAGGTCCTTATATTTCTGTCCTTTATCATGCCCATCCTTGCATGAAATATTCTCTTGATATCTCAAATTTTATTGAAGAGATTGCTAGTCTTTCCCATTCTGTTGTTTTCCTGTTTCTTTGCACTGTTCATTGAAGAAGGTCTTCTTATCTCTCCTTGCTGTTCTCTGGAACTCTACTAAAGATGAAGCCCCAATACTTCGACCACTTGATGTGAAGAACCGACTCATTGCAAAAGACCCTGGTGCTGGGAAAGATTGAAGGCAAAAGGAGAAGAGGGTAACAGAGCATGAGATGGTTAGATAGCATCCCCATCTCAGTGGATATGAATTTGAGCAAACTCCTGGAGATAGTGAAGGACAGGGAAGCCTGGCGTGTTGTAGTCCGTGGGGTCGCAGAGTCAGACACGACTTAGTGACTGAACAACAACAATTTAACATGGACATGGTCCAGGTTGATCCAAGTTCTCTGAGGCCTTATGTGTCAGCAGAGGGAGTGTATCAGTTGGGTTAAGCAGCACTAGCTGCCTCCCAGGCACTCTGACTTCTCAGGAAATTTGCACAACACAGATTTATCCCTCCATCCCCTCCTAATCCAGTGTGGGTCAGGTGGGTCTCCTTGGTGGCCCTCCTACCGAGAGGAGAGACATGGAATTGGGGATGTGGGATGCCTACATTTTGCAATTCTGCCACCTTAAAGTCCTTTATTAATACTTCCAGCGCCCCTGATGGGACAGAGAAAACAGAGAACTCACACCTGCCCATTACAATCCTATGTTCCCTTCAAAGCCCTCGGGCCAGAACTGTTTCTACAGCCCCATCCCACCTTCCGGGAGACATGGGTATTTGTAACACTACCTGGCACAGCAACAGGCAGCTTAAAAGAGCTACTTGATTTAAAGCAGGAATTCTTAATATTTAGTCCATGAAATGGCTTCAAGGTAGTCTGAGAATCCCACTAGATTTTATACAAAACTCTGGACTTGTGATGTTTATTGTTTCAGAAAGAGAATCCATTGTTTTCTTTGGTCTCAAGGGGCACTCAAAAAAAAAAGAATTATGATTTAAGGTGAGATTTTCCTGGTGGTCCAGTAGTAAGACTCCGAGCTCCCAATACAGGGGGCCTGGGTTCAACCCCTGGTCAGGGAACTAGATCCCACATGTTGCAACTAAAACCCAGTTACCCAAGTAAATATATTAGTTAATTTTTAGAAAAGAATTACTGATTTAAGGCAATAGGTAAGAGGAGAAAAACTATGAAATTGGCTGCTCTCCTTTTATATTTAACACTACCTATAGTTTACAGCCTACTTTCTATAGGTGATACATGGACCATAGAGGTTCCACACACAATGAATGACCAGGCATTTTTCATATGTTACCTATAATATTCACATTCACCTTGAAGGCAGATATTCCCATCCCCTTTTTGCAAATAGAGAAATTAAGAAGCATAAAGATCACATAATATGCCCCAGATTACACAGCAAGTAAATGCAAGGAATACCTATGAACCCAGGGCTTCAAAATCAAGCTTCAAAATCCTCATTTCATACTGGGCAATTTAAGTGTTTACCATCCACTATAAATGAGATATAAAAGACAATATGGTCTGAACACATTCCTGACTTTTATTTTCCTCCAAACTGAACAAATAAAATGTCAGAAATATCATAGAAATTTCTGTGGTTCAATTGACAAACTCCAACATTGATGAAGATCTGTTATACACAGAACTGGCTACAGATAGAGAAAAAGACCAAGTAACAGAGACAAAAAGAGAAAAGAATTTCTACCTTATTCATGCTTAAATAGATGGATAGATATGTAGAAATACGTGCTTTTTTGATTTTGAGATAACTACAAATAATTTTAAGGAGCTGCATTGAACTGGTCAGAAAATTTTTTTCCATTCTATTTGCTGAATTTTCTAAATTTTCACTTTAAATATCAAAATTGATTTAGACATGGTAAATATGTCCCTGAAGTATCCAGAGTGACTCATGATCTTCAGAGAGCACTATTGAGCTGGTATCCTGGAGCATTTTTGGCAATAGAATCTGGATTTTTTTTTTCTTGAGAACATCAAAAACCAACCCTGGCTATAATAAGCAAAACGGAATTTATTAGAAGAGCTTAGAGGATTCCTGGAAAGTTGGGTCCCCCAACTTGGACAAAGAATAGGAACCAAGTTGCTCTCAAGGGTCAGGAAGCAAGTTGTCAGCAAAGTTCTTGCAGCAGTAAGAATGTCTTCTCAGCTGGTAACTGTTTTCATCCCAGTGCTTCAGTGATTCAACGTTCAGTCTCAAGAGTGTCTAAATGTCCAGTCCTCAATAACATGCTCAGTACTCCTCTCCCTGCTCTTTGCCTGGTCCTACAGCCTTTCGTTCCCATGAAGGAAAGAAGCCACTTCCAAAAATGACTCACAGTAAAGGGTTCTCACAACAGAGGCTGAGAGACCAAATCAGGCAGCCAGACAGTGGCTGCCCCACCACAAGCAGCCATCCCACAGGTCAGTGACACGAGGCTCTTAGTGTATAACTTTTAGGAAAGGAAATTAAAAGGTGGAATGTCTTAGTCAAATTTCTTAGTTACCTATGCTGAGCAAAAATATAAAAAATGTAGTCTATAAAATAGGCTTCCCAGGTGGAGCAGTGGTAAAGAATCTACCTGCCAGTGCAGGAGACACAAGAAATTCGGGTTCAGCCCCTGGGCCAGGAAGATCCCCTGGAGTAGGAAAAGGAAACCCACTCCTGTATTCTTGCCTGGAAAATCCCATCAACAGAGGAGCCTCGTGGGCCACAGTCCATGGGGTTGCAAAACAGTCAGGCATGACTGAGTGAGCATACAGCACATTCTATGAAATAATATATTAATTTGGAAATACCATTCATCTCAATTACGGCTCTTTCTATCCCAATACTTATCAGAGGAACAAAAACTGAGTAGAGAGAGGTCTTTTAATAGAATAGGAGGGTGACTTCTCTGGCGGTCCAGTGGTTAAGACTTTGCCTTTCAATGAAGGTGGAACAGGTTCAGTCCATGGTCAGGTAGCTAAAATCCCACATGCCTCACAGTCAGAAAAAAAAAAAAACAGAAGCAATATTGTAACAAATTCAATAAAGACTTTAAAAATGGTCCACATCAGAAAAATCTTAAAAAAATAAAAGAGTAGGATTGGAATTCCCAGGTGATCCAGTGGTTAGGACTCAGCACCTCCACTGCTGTGCCTAGGTTCAATCCCTAGTTGGGGAACTAAGATCCTGTAAGCCATGTGATGTGGTCAAACATTAAAAAGAATATGATTGATTGTATCAAAGGAGGCTTTCCAGGTGGCACAAGTGGTAACATATTCCCATACTAATGCTGGAGATGCAAGGGATGCAAGTTTGATCCCTGAGTCAGGAAGATCCCCTGGAGAAGGAAATGGCAACCCACTCCAATAGTCGTGCCTGGAAAATTTCATGGACAGAGGAGCCTGACAGGCTACAGTCCATGGGTTCACAAACAGCTAGACGTGGCTAAGCATGCACACAAGCAATACCAAAAGAAGTACAATAAGGAAAAGAAGTTGTGAATAGTCAACAATAAAAGTAAGAAGAAATAGGAAAAAAGGAAAAGGGATGAAGAGACAGACACTGCAAAGGAAAAGAAAGGGAGGCTGTCCAGAGAAATATGGATGCAAGCCTTCGGCAAGCTCCTCCTTCAGGCTTGCTCCATCTGCTACCATGAATTCCTCGTCACCCTCCTTTCCTGACACTGTTACTTCCATCAGTTCCAGTGAGCTCCCTGCACCTACAGACAAACCTACACTCTACAGAGATTTAGAGCTCATTGAGATCTCAGGAAGTCAGGAGAAGCAGTCCCTACCAAGTGCAGCTTCCTTGCACCATCAACACAGGAGCTCCAGAAAACCACAGGTGCTGGGCGCAGCAGCCCTGGAGGGGCTCCCGCAGAAATCTGATGGATAGCGATAACCTTCAGAACCTGTCCCTCCCTTTTACTTCTTCAGATCCTTTCCAAACAAAGCTCTTCCAAAGGGGGACAGAACCCTTCACTAGGGGAACCCGGTGCAGCAAACCAGGGCTCACTCACGTCTGTCTCTGGCCTGAATTTCACCAGGAAATTCACCCAGGCACGCTTTGTTGAGAAGTACTTTGTGACGAGGCTTCACGTTTTCCCTCAAATCAGCTAAAACAAAATCTTAGGTTTACCTCTTTGGTTTTCACATTTTTCTTTGTTGAGCTTAAGCAAAAGGGACTGTTACAGAACCAAACTTGGGTCCACTCACCTACAGGCCATAAAAACAATCTAGTGACCCCAGGTTCTGGTGAAGGAAAGTGCAACATTTTGAAACTGCAACTCAGATTGAAACCTGAACCCAAGCGACTGAGACTTGAACCAAGTCTTTTAACTGAGATCACACACCTGCTTTCAGGACTTAATGGAGTTCAGGTTCTTGATACTTCATTGCAAAAAGAGTTCAGTGTGAGACAAAATGATAGGTAAGAGGTGGATTCATTTAGAGAGAAACACACTCCACAAAGTATGGGCCACCTCAGAAGGTAAGAGGCTTCAGTTTTTATAGGGGTGGGTCATTTCTTAGGCTGGTGAGTGGGAGGGATATTCCAGCTATCTTGGGGAAGGCTATGTGCTAGGTCACTTCAGCCATGTCCAACTCTGTGACCCAATGGACTGTAGCCCGCCGGGCTCCTCTGTCCCTCGGATTCTCCAGGCAAGAATTCTGGAGTGAGTTGCCATGTCCTTCTCCAAGGGACCTTCCCAACCCAGGGATCGAACCCCCATCTCTTAGGTCTCCTGCATCGGCAAGTGGATTCTTTACCACTAGCACTACCTGGGGAAAGGGTGGGTGTTTTCAGAAATTGGGCCACCACCCACCTTTATGACCTTTATAGACTTGCAACTATCATGATGTCTGTAGGGTTATCACTTAGCTTGCTGATACATTACAGTGAGTGCACACTGAGATTCAAGATCTAGTGAAAGTCGATTTGCCTGCCATCTTATATCTATTTGATGCTAATCAGTCTATGTTATGTCCTCAGGCTATGTCATTCCTTTCAATATTGTTCCCTAAATTCCCAGCCTCCTGTTTCAGCTTGGCCCCAATGTGGGGCCAAGGAGTATGGGCAATTAATTCTCAAAAGGCCCAAATTCCCCAAAGGCTTTCAGGGAAAGGTGTTTAAGGACAGAGTGAAGAAGAGGGCTTCAAGGTGTGTGATCAGCTCATGAACATTCTTCTGATTGGTTGGTGATGAGGTAATCAGGAATGAAAATCAGAAACCTTCCAATTCCAGCTGTTCTGGTATTTACAAGCTGGTGATCAGTATGCATTTAATTTCTACATGGTGACGGTTTCAGTACCTGCAAAGTAGCTCAAGAATATGGCTCAGAATGTTATCTGTAGCCCCTGAAGAGGAGCTGAATGTCCTTGACTTTTATGGCTAAACTATCATTATCATGGCTTGCTGGACTGTTTTCCTTTGTTTCTGCATTCTCTTACTTCTCTGATTAAATGTGCTCTTTGGAACTCAGGAAGGCCTCAGAGACTAAAGTTTTTTCCATAAACAAGAGGCAGACAGAGGACACAGCGGGGGATCTGTCCCTGAAATGCCCCATAGGATCCTGCTCAGGTACTGGACTGCTCTTAACCAAAAACTTCCAGCAGCATGATCACTGGTTATGGAAATCCTGGAAAGTCCAAACAGCCCCCAAATTATAGTCTACTTTGAAAATGAATACTGTATTAGACAAATACGAAAAGCCTTGAGAGAGGGATACTCCTAGATGTTTGTCTGCAACTCTAAGACTGTGATTAAAGTCCAAAGTAGGAAGAGGTAGAGAGAAAAAAATAGATTGTGATAAAGTCTTTCTACTCTGTTTTCTCAAAAGAGCATTTTCTTGTCCCCTTCTTTGGGAGTTACCCTGTTCACTCCCTTTCCATATTAACAGTGTCTCAACTTTGGTCGAGTTCTGCTATATTTTGTAAATCAACCTTGTTTTTCTATCAGCGATAGCAAGCACAGAAACTTTTTTTAAAGAGGAATGACTGTATCAAGACTTAGACTTGAGGAAGAATAAAAAATAGGTCAATTTAGGCTTAATTTTATAGTATACGTGTTTTATAACATGTATTTTTCTTAAATTTAGCATATATTTTTGTTACAGAGCAGCAAACATGTAGAAGAGGTTTTTTATTTGGAGACTTGTTTAATAAACATATTGGCACTTATTAGGAAAAGTCAAAACCTTAAAAAGGAGAGTTATAGACTTCCCAACTTCTATTTGAAAATAAATATAGATTTGGCAGTCTATCCTGGTAATTGGGTGATAGGCATATGGCAATATTTAATGCAGAAGACAATGGTTTCAAAGAAAATCAGAGTACGAGCCTTGTGTCACTGAGATGGGCTGGTAAACACAGAAAAATCAAAATACTTTTAAGTTTTTAGAGCAACCATGCTTTCTGCAAGGATGTAAGAGCCTGAGAGCTACCATTTAAGAGATAGAAGCCTGACACAATTCTCAGAAAAATGGAACTGGAGTTAAAAACATTTTAGTGTTAAACTGGGTAGGGGTATATTTGGCCATCAAGAGTGCATCTTTTACTTAGACTGGAAGCCAGGCTTTGGGCTCAAATGGAGAGGAATGTGTTTCTCTAATACATAAGAGAACTGAGAACAAGAAATTGAGTAGCTGCTTTAAATCCTCTTAGTAGCAGTCAGGGTCTGTATGTTTATAAACTAACTATATGGCTCTGGCCTTGACCTGGCAAGAATGAAAACTGGAAACAGTCTAAATGACAACTCCGTGCAGGGACATCAGTTAAATGGCTTTAAGCAACACATATGCTTATTCGCCCCTGTTGTACAAAATCCATGGCTGACGATGAGCCAGTTCTGGAGTCAGCTGGTTTACACACCCTACATGGCTGACAGCAAAGCAGACCTGGAGTAAGTGAGCACATGTGACACAACTCCAAGGACCCCAGTCCGTCTTGCAGTCTCTCAGTTCTCTCTGGTGTACCTGTGTCTCTTTGCAACGTGCCTTTGCAGTGCCTTCCTCAGGAGACTGTCTATTTCCAGTCCTTGAATCTGGACTTGACCATGGGACTTGCCCTGCAAATGTAGTGCAAGTGGAGGCTTGACCAGCACCTGTGCACACAGCCCCTCCCTCCCTTGCTGTTGAAGACTCTGCCTGTTCCAAGCCTAAGCTCATACTGCTCAATGCGTGACAAGCCAATCAATTGAGAAATAAGCTGCTGGGGCTAGGAATAGTGATTTTATTCAGAAAGTCAGCAGGCAGAGAAGATGGTGGACTAGTCTCCCAAAGATCCATTTTGCTGGGGTTTGAATGCTAGTTTCTTTTATAGAACAAAGAGGGGAAGGTGAGGAAGTAAAGTGAAAAAGGTAATCAGTTCAGTTCAGTCGCTCAGTCGTGTCCGACTCTTTGCGACCCCGTGAATCGCAGCATGCCAGGCTTCCCTGTCCATCACCAACTCCTGGAGTTTACCCAAACTCATGTCCATCGAGTCGGTGATGCCATCTAACCATCTCATCCCTTGTCATCCCTTTCTCCTCCTGCCCCCAATCCCTCCCAGCATCAGGGTCTTTTCCAGTGAGTCAACTCTTCCCATGAGGTGGCCACAGTATTGGAGTTTCAGCTTCAGCATCAGTGATAAGTTGTAGCAAATTATTTCCTGGTTCCAGCCAGACTCCAGAGGGGGTGTGTTAATTTCTTCTTTCCTGCATCCATTCACAGATGGGCTTCATCTGGATGTTTCCCATAAGCTAAACAAAGGTATTTTCAACCTTAACTCTCAGGCATGAGAGGCAGGATTCCCAGAGATAGACCATTATGTACATTTTAAGCTATAGACAACATCCCTTTAGTGATGAACTTGTAACAAAAGCATAGAGTACAAAGGTTAATGGAAAAGAAACAGATCCAATATGAATTCACATTTGTTCTTCCCTATCACATACCCACTTTTCAGAAAAAGCTCAAGCTAGTCTTGTAAAGGATGAAAGAGTACATGGAGAGAGGACCCAGAGTACATGGAAAGAGGACCCAGCCATGCCAGCCAATCCAGCTTCTGCAGGTGAGAGCTACACACTGGCAGGGAACTGAGAGCTGCTGACCCTCCATGGAGCAAAGCCAGACCCAAAGGACTGACCTACAGAACTGTGAGCAAGTGCTGGTACTCTGCTTTTTAAGTCATTACATTTGGGGGATGATTGATTATACAGTAAAAATTAACACCATTACTAAAAAGTAGATGCTAATTATTATTGTTCAAACAGAAAATGTTGCTTTAAATCTTTAGCAAACATGCATGAAATAGAGATAATTTTTTAAGACTAAAATAAATCTAATATACCTTTATTTATATACTGAAAGTATTGGTTGCTCAATCATATCTGGCTCTGCAACCCCCTGGATTGTAGCCCACCAGACTCCTCTGTCCATGGAACTCTCTAGGCAAGAATACTGGAGTGAATTGCTATTCCCTTCTCCAGGGGATCTTCCCAACCCAGGGATCAAACCCAGGTCTCCTGCATTGCAGGAGGATTCTTCACTGTCTGAACCAGCATATATTTTAAAGAATAATGGAATTTAAAGCAGGAGTTAAAGAAATACAACACTTAACTACAATAAAGTAATTCACTGGAATTCAAATATCTTCAATTATTTAATCTAGGGGCCAGCAAATTACAGCCCTCAGGCCAAATCTGAACCCTGACCTATAAATTTTTGACTGACCTATAAAGTAAATAAAGTTTTATTGGAACACATCTTTGCTCATTTAATTACATATTGTCCAAAGTGCTTTCAAACTGTGGTGCCGGAGAAGACTCTTGAGAGTCCCTTGGACAGCAAGGAGATCCAGCCAGTCCATCCTAAAGGAAATCAGTCCTGAATATTCATTGGAAGGACTGATGCTGAAGTTGAATTCCAGTACTTTGGCCACCTGATGTGAAGAGCTGACCCAGTGAAATGGGATGCTGGGGAAAGATTTCTGATGCCGGGAAAGATTGAGGGCAGGAAGAGAATGGGGCAGCAGAGAATGAGATGGTTGGATGGTATCACCAACTCAATGGACATGAATTTGAACAAACCCCAGGAGATAGTGAAAGACAGGGAAGCCTGGAGCACTGCAGTCTATGGGGTTGAAAAGAGTTGGATACAACTTAGTGACTGAACAATATCTTCTTTAGTACTATGATATCAGAGCTGAGTAATTGAGACTAAGACTGTGGCTTGCAAAGTCTAAATTATTTCCTATCTGCCCCTTTACAGAAAAATTTGCTGACTCCTGTTTTAGTGATTATATTTCAATAAATGTTAACTATTGTCATCGTCATTATCATACATTGTCATCGTCCCTATTATTGTAGCCAATGGGATGCATGTGGAAAATAATCTTCCCTTGATCAAAGAGCAGCCACCTAATCCTACAAAATTAGTATTCCTAATCTTTACATGAACACTCTAGTCAGCAATGAAGGGAAACACATACCCTTCTCCTTATTTGAGTAAGTACTAATAGAGAAACTTGCCTTCTATTAGAATGTATTTATTTGCCATCTGAGTCTACACATATAATTTTTACTTAATTTCAAAGATACGATACATTTAAAAATCTCTATAGATAACCATTAACCAAATTGGTTTAAAATATAATATGGACAAAAAGCAAAAATTAGATTCACTTTATTGTGTGAAACTAGTTATTAGTGGTGTTTAGGGACCATATGAGCTGTTACTAAAAATCTTAAGTCTGTATTTCTACAGAAGAGTACAGTAGTCTATGTTTAAAGAATGTTCTTGACCAGAAAGTTAATAAGTTTTAAAGTCATTTCCAGTTTTCCAGTTGAGACAATATACAATACATATGAGAAAACACAGGAGTTTGATGAGTGACAAGATTTGAGAAGATAGACCCAAGAACTAAAATGTATATGATAATAAATACAATAAAAATTGGAAAAAATTTAAAATTTGGAAGCATGGGTCCTGTGCCTTACTATTTAACTTTTAGAAACATTTATGTATTTATTTGGCCATGTCTTGTTGTGGCAGGCAGGCTCAGTGGTTGCAGCATGTGGACTGTTGCCCTGCAGCATGTGGGATCTTAGTTCCGCAACCAGGGTTGAACCTGCATCTCCTACGTTGGAAGATAGATTCTTAACCACTGGACAGCAAGGGAAATCCCTGGGTCCTTTGCCTTAGAACTCATTGTTTATTGTGTTTTCTTTACGTCATAAAGCTTCTAAGAGTTTTTTGTCATTCTTGTAAAATTTTAGGAGGATGTGGCTAAATATCAGTCTCTTAAAATATAATCTGCTTGGCACATGATGGCTGCATCAAACTTATATTTTTCTGTTGTTGCTTTGGTTACTATCTATATTCTCTTTCTGAAATTGTGTCTGTCCTCCTTGATAGATCCTACATCTCTCTCAATCTGTCCAATTTTCTTTCATTTCTTTTTTTATCTGTCTGGAAATTTATGTTGACTTAGCTTCTTAATTCATGAATGTGATCTAAATAAAAAGAAGTCAGATTCAGATATATCTAAATTCTCAATATGTTATATTTCTCTTGTCACAGTTAAGATATATTAGTGAAATAGAGCCTCAAACATTAATAAATGCTTAATAATTTTCCTAGATTTTGTAAAAGTTTTCTTATCAGAAACATACCCAATGATCTAAAGAGGTTGGCTAATAATGAATATTCATTTCATAAATGACTCATAAATAGCAAAAGTAACTAGTGGCAGCGTAGGAGTAAAATATATGGATTCTGAATTGAGTCTGAATGAATCCACAATGGGTAAGTACTCTTATCAGCCTACTCCAAAATGAAAATATCCACTTCTAACAAATACATTTTACTTCTCCTTACAGTAGTGGCAATTAATGAATCTTTTAATTACACTTACACATTATTCTCATCAGCCCAGCTCCCAGTGGAAATATCAACCTTGAACAAATTCCTGTAAGGGTAACTGTTTTTTTTTTTAAAGATATAATTGGCTTTATTAAACAATTCATGAACTGGGCAGCATATCTAACAAACAGAAAGGAGTCTCAAAAAGCTGCAGAAAAGCAAAGGTTCTTAAAGGCACAGGAAGGGAGGGACAGGAAGTCATAAATGAAAAAAAAGAATTATTTCAGGCAAGGTTGCCTACTTTGGGGGTACAAAAGAGTCTATCAGGTGAATTATCTCACTGGCGCTGACCAAGTGGTTAACTGATTGGTTAAGGGTAACCGTTAAATATATAGTGCTGTGCTAAGTCACTTCAGTCAGGTCCGACCTGTGCGACCCTATGAACTGTAGCTGGCCAGGTTCCTCTGTCCATAGGGATTCTCCAAGCAAGAATACTGAAGTGGATTGCCATTCCCTTCTCCAGGGTTAAAGATATAGACAAACCCTTAAAGCTGAAAGATGCCTAGTCCAACCTCTTCATTTCAACAACAAGGAATCAGAATAAAAGGATTAAATGGCTTGTCTAAGATAACGTAGTTTCTTGATTCCTACCTCGTTAATAAACAATCCATTGTCTTAACAATCAGCGTGACAGAGAGATGTGCCTTGGGAACAAGTCAGACTTATTAGAGAAGAACCTGCTATGCACAGAGCCACTTCTGGGTAAAACACACCAAAACGGTCATCAGAGGGCCCAGGCATTAGAGACGCCAGGCACCAAACTCAAGAAGGCAGTGAGTTAGAGAAAGGGGTGTATCATAGTAAACTGATGGGCTTCCCTCATATCTCAGCTGGTAAAGAATCCATCTGCAATGCAGGAGACCCCGGCTCGATTCCTGGGTCGGGAAGATCCCCTGGAGAAGGGATAGGCTACCCACTCCAGTATTCTGGTCTGGAGAATTCCATGGACTGTGCAGTCCATGGAGTCACAGAGTCGGACACGACTGAGCCACATTCACTTTCATGGTGAGCTAAAACAAGGACCCTGCTAAACAAGGACCCTGGATACTACCAGACACACATACATGAAATGAGTCTATACAGTGTCCTCCCAGTCTCTGGGCCAAACCCACACCTCCTTTTCTCTTATTTGTTTCTCTCTCAAAGCCTCTGCTTTTCTCTGTCTCTTTTCCCCACCTCTATTTCCCTCAAAATCTAATTTTAACTACATTATATTGCATTAGTATTTTTTTACAGGCAGGGAAGAAGGCAAAAAGTACAAAGCACAGTGTAATTTCCCCTAAGTCCCAGATTCCTTAAGCTTGATCTTAGCTATGTGATTTAGTAATTTTCCCTGTGTATTTGAGAGTAAGTTGAATATAAATCTTTATTTTTTCCCTTAAAAAACCCTATACAGTTGCTGCATTATGCACTTCATGATCCATATTTTGGGGGGAAAAAAAGAAAGCTTAAAGAAAAATAAAGATTGTTAAACTTAACAAGCATTCCCAAGACTGGAAGTATCTCTGTTAATCTTGCTAATTAGAGGATTGCTGCTGCTGCTGTTGCTAAGCCACTTCAGTCAACTCTGTGCAACCCCATAGACGGCAGCCCACCAGGCTCCCCCGTCCCTGGGATTCTCCAGGCAGGAACACTGGAGTGGGCTGCCATTTCCTTCTCCAATGCATGAAGGTGAAAAGTGAAAGTGAAGTTGCTCAGTCGTGTCCGACTGTTAGCGACCCCACGGACTGCAGCCTACCAGGTTGCTCCGTCCGTGGAATTTTCCAGGCAAAAGAGTACTGGAGTGGGTTGCCATTGCCTTCCCAAATTAGAGGATTAAGTACCTTTAAAGAAGTGCCTCTACTGTGAAATTTATCAGATAGAGGTTAAGTTCCTATAAAGGTACCGGAATATAGCAGAAGCCTACTGTCTTCTGAATGTCACAGAAACCTACACTCAGCCTTGATGAAGCATTGACTTAGCGGTTGCACAGTGCCTGGAGATGGCAGCCAACCCATCAATAATATGAAAGGACTGTTTACTTGCCTCACATTATCAAAAGGTGATGAAAACTTGAGAATTTCTCAGTGGTTTTGATGACACATGAGTATAGGCCAATTTACAGTTATTCTATGATCCTATTTTAGTCTCCTGTTGATAATGGAGTCCCTACTGTGTGTTTTATTTTTTTAATCTCTTACTTTTTAGTAAATTGATATTCAGTGTGTGAAATGTCTATTTCTATCATGTAGTGTTATTAGGGAAATT